ACCTATTTTTTTCACTTTGTGCTTTTTTACTTTTCACTTCCAATAAATATTTTGCTATTGCAGATTAACAAAGAAAAAGTGAACAGTATACTATTACAAAATGAAGCAAAATTAATAAAAGAATTGGCATTTTTTTATTACCTCTCCATAAAGTTCACCAGCTTATTACCAACTTTATAAGATGGTGAAGAATGTGCGTTTGTCTGTCTTTATGGCTCGTCTGCTAATAAATAGCAATGATAAACAAAAAATCATACTGTAAGGAACAAATGTTATGAGGGAGGAGGAATTGGTAATTCATTCTTAAAGTAACCACTATATAAACTTCTGGTGACATACCATTTTGCATATTATAGAATGAGTGATTAAATCTGTCAGCTTTACTAAGCATGGTAGCCATTTTAACAAGGATGTGCTCAAACACCTGTGTGGTCTATCAAGTGCATTTTTACAGCCAATGACTGTTCTGACTATCCTATTCACCACAGACCTATACTTAAACACATGTGATACACATATGTTTGAATTATTCAATTGAACTATTGTTGGATGCGTACTTGAAAATATGCTAGGAACATGATCATTCTCAATTTTAAAACTGTGTGAGCATAATTAAAAAGTACCAAAAATTGTTATAATCATTAACATAAATTTGAATTGGCATTTGCAGAATTCTGTGCAAAACAGCTGTAAAATGAAATTATTTGATACCAAAATGACTAGTGATTGCAATTTTACTTATACTGTATTAAAAAATTATAAAACAAATGCTTATGAAGCTTATGAAGCTTATGTTGCTTATGAAGAAAAATGTGAAGTGTACATTAAATATTTAATTTTTGGGAACTGTTTAGATATAGGTAAACTGAACTTTTAAAAACTACTGTTAACCATGAGAAACTCGCCTTATTGGGTGAACTGAAAAGTTAATTACAGTCAAAAGTCGTTAATTCGGACATCCCCTTACCGACCCATCACCACACCAAAAGCTACAAACTTTCTGCGCCATAGGCTTTGTCTTACTTCGCCCTCCCTTCGAGATCCATAACCCTACGGTTCCGCATATGCAGGTGCATGCGCATAATTATTGTTACCCGCCGGCGCGTTACATGTATAACGGTAAGCTTAACTAAGCAAAATTATCTAATTAATTCAGTTATTGTAGCAGATGGGTTGTCCTTAATCTTCGAATTGGATCTGGCTTATTAGTTTTTTGCAGCGTTTGAGCAATTTATAAAAGTAAGCTTGAACTTCGCTTATGCCAAAGAATTTCCGGATATATATTTATATATGTAAAAGGATCTTACAAGCGAAAGTATGTTCGAAGTACTCCATTAAACAGAAAGTAGATTATGCCAAAAAAATGAATAAAGGCATATTCCTTTGATTATCTAAAATTTCCGAAATCAGTGGTATCATTTCACGTGCTCTGCGGGGGAGGGAGGGAAACGACGGCACCGCAGCAATGAATGAAGTGGATATGTCCCACTTAGCTTATCTTCAGATGTTTTTATTTTATTTGGCTTTTAATTCCTTTACTAAATGTAGTATTTCACGAATGTACTCCGTGTTGTAGATGTTTCATTCAATTCCTTGTCATTATAATTCGCTTCGATAGGAAGAGTGACACAGGTTATTGAAAACTAAAAAATTTCGATTGGAAAATTAGTCGCTTCTTGACTCCATTATAGGACTTGAAAAGCAGAACTTTGGACAAAACAAAATTATGTCGGTTTAATAGAATAAAGAGAAGTATTATCACATGAAACTAAGCAACTTAAACATTTGCATTGAAAGAAAGTTTAATGAAGTAACAAATAATATTAATCTTTTCTTTTGCAATTTGATACCCTTTAGATCATAATTGTTCTTTATTTTCATACACTAGGTTAATTTTTTAATTTTATAATTTCTGATGCCATCTTACAAATTTAATTATGATCTGTAATCCGGAAAAATCGATAATCCAGATTCGCCGAAGTCCCGACGAGTCCGGATTAACGACTTTTGACTGGATATTGAAATTTAGCTTTATGTGCTTGTTATTTATTTCTTTATTCCTGAAAATATAATATTGTGATAACAAATGGAACACTACTGTCTTTAGGCATGTTCGTCCCTTTTTAATCCAGTTATTTAAATGTGTGTTAGCACATTTCTGAGATAATTCTTTAATAGAACTTAATATCCTGAATAGTTACACAAATCATATTATTTGGTAAAATGTTTGAAGAAAACTATTTGCTTGGCTCAGTAAATTTCAGACTTTCATAATTATACTTGAAGAAGTATGCAGAACACAATTTTATTTGTTTGTATTTTAAATGTTTACAATCAAATTCTAAACATTTAAAATATTGCCACAGCAAGAAAATTTTAAGTTTAATTTTTCAATCGTATTCAAATGTAATAGGATTTACAGAAAGAAGGGGATTATGCTGGTGTTTATCATATTAAGGAGTATTTTCTATGCTTTGTGACAAAAAAGAAATGTTTAGTGCCACTAACAGAAAGGTACTTAATGTTCATTTGTAAGAATATTTATCATAATATTTCTATGAAGATTCTATCCCTGTAAATGCAATAGCCTATATAAGCTATCAGTTTTGCTGCTAAATGTGACCATCATCTTTTTTAAACAGTAAGAGATAATTGATAACTTTCTTTTAAATGTAATTTTATCATTGCACATCATTTGATTATAATTTATTACAAAATGTGGGTACATTTACTTTGATAACACTGAAGCAAATGCTATGTAAATTGTAACAAGTTTGATTTGATAAATGTATTATTTTAGGCATTAGCACAAAAATTAATTGAAGCAATTTAATTTTATGTTAAACATACCTATACACAGCTCAGTACTCAGTTATAGCTAATAGTTAAAATTTAATCAATTTGCCTTCAGGAAGTCGTATATTTCAGGTTTAATTTTGAATAGTAATCATTATAGTAATTCTACATTTAAAAAAAGTGCATACAGTTGATTTTAATTCAATATTAGATAACTCTAATCATTATTTTTTATTATTCAAATATATTTTGAGGCAACTGGTAACTGAGTTATGCTGTGACTAGTTGCCTTATCAGACCTGTCACTGCACAATACTATAAGAAGCTTTTCCATGAAATGTATTTTTCCAGCATTAGTTTGAACAGATTTCTAGCCATATCTTTTGGGAAACAGTTGTGTCCAGAAATCTGCCTCACATACATAACCAATATTTTAAAATGCTGGAGGAGGGTCACTGGCAGCTCTGTTTTGCATAGGAGAGGAATCAATCAGAAGAGGGTTGTACTTGTATACAGTCAAAAGTCGTTAATTTGGACACCCATAATCCGGAATGATCTATAATCCGGACCTCAAAGCTACAAACTTTCGGCCATGCGTCCGCGTTCACGCATGCGCACAGGCGTTTACGAGACCGTAAGACCTTACGGCTGCGAATATGTTTGTGCGCATGCGCGTTTAATGTGTAACGGAGTTATACGCTTGTAAAAGTTATTAATTCAGTTAATGTTGCAGATTGCGTTTGTTCTTAATCTCGGAATGGATCCGGCTTTTATTTTTGCAGAGTTTAGAGCAATTTTATAAAAGTAAGCTTGTGAACTTCGATTATGTCAAAATAGAATTTCCGATATATAGTACTACAAAGCGAAAGTATTTTGAAATCCGAAATTTTTATCAATTTCACGCTGCTCGGCGGCAAGGGGGGGCAGAAACGTCATTATTAGATTATGATAGATTAGAAAGATTATGTCAAATAGAATTTCCAATATATATTACTATATGTAATTGTATCTACAAAGCGAAAGTATGTTTTGAAATCCGAAAATTGTTATCAATTCACGCCGCGGATTGGAAGTTGATCTGTCAACACTATCCTTATCTTCAGAGCAGATGTTTTTATTTTATTTGGATTATATTCCGTACTAAGTTTAGTATTTCATCTCGATGTACTCCGTCTTTGATATGATTTAAATCAAGTTCCTCGTCATTATAATAGCTTCCGAATGAAGAAAGTGACCCAGAGGTTATTGAAAACGAAAACATTTCGATTGACAAATTAGTCGGTATTCTCAACACAGAATTATGGACTTGAACAGCGGAACTTGTAACTAAACAAGAAATTATGTCTGTTTAATAGAAAAGAAAGTAGTATCACATGAAACGAAAGCAACTTACATTGAAGGAAAAATTAATAAAGTAAACAATATATATTAAGTTTTTTCTTTTTGAATTTGATACCCTTTAGCATATAATTGTTCTTATTTCATAAATTACTGTTTCATATTTTTAATTGTAATTTTGCATGCCATTTACCAGATTTAAACTGATGATATATAATCCGGAAAAATCGATAATCCGGAATCGCCGAAGTCCCGACGAGTCCGGATTAACGACTTTTGACTGTACTATAACATACTTCTGGGAGCGTATACTCCATTTGTGCTTCTGACAGGAACATGTTTTTTAGTAAAGTTTCTTAGTGCATTTTTCGTTGGTAGGTCTGATAAAGGCTTTTGAATGTAAAGAACCACAATAAAATATACCTATCTTTTCCCAAAATTGGAATTTTAATTTTTTTAGTATTTTAAATGATTTTGGAATTCATGATGAAAAATTCGGTTAAAAATTACTTTTCCCCAACAAAATGGCAAAAGAATAATTTGTATTTCCCACTGAATACTAAATTATTATTATTATTTTTTTAAATTTCATTACCATGACCATTTATTTATTAAAATTCTTGAAATCCTAATTTGCATATTAGGGTGTTATTGCATTTTTGTGGTTCAAACCTTTTGAGGCAGACAAGAAGAAAGTCTTTGGTCAGGCATCTGATATGAGAAGATCTAGATCAGTGTATTATTAATTTCATTTTTACTTATAAACAGTATTATGAAGATAAGAATAATCCATTTCTAATAATGAATAAATTAGTGAATAATTAAAATGTATATAATATTTATATCAACTGTTACTTATTTCACAGAAAACTGTATATTTATTTTGATCATGGCATCAAAACGAACTCGGATTTCACCTCAGTACCTTCGAACTGAAGACATTATGATTACAATTCTAGAAGTAAGTTTGAATTTTATAGTTAGTAATTCTTTGAAATAATTATATCCCTTCATATACTGCATTAATGAGAAAAATATGCAAATGAAAGATCTATTGGGTAATAAATATGTTGACCACATATCTAAATTTTGTTCCTTAAACTTCAGATTTGTCACTCTTAAACCAGAGAATTACAATTAAGTTCTTTTTTTAAAAAGCAATAATATAGAATCCACTGTAAATTAAACTAATATTCAGCCAATCCGTAGACAATAAAAAGGTAAAACACAGTAAGCAAACTGCAATAAAAGCTCAACTATTTGGAAAGCTCAGAAAATGGTGATTGCCAGATATGTGAAAATTTGAATAATTGAGTATATAAGAAATACAGTTGACAAGAGAAAATCCTAATAAATGTAAAAAGAAATATCCCATCTAAAAATTATAAAAACAACCATCTTATTTGATATCAAAAGACTAATTGTATAAAATTTAGGGAGATAGGCATTTCAGATATAAAAGCTGATGTATTTTTACCAGCTCAGCTTGATCATTTTTGATACTGTAGGCCAGTGTTTCTTAACCCATTAACTGCCAAAACTAGAAGGAAAGTTTCTTTTCTCATGAAAATAATAATAAATATTAAATTAAGCATTTGTAACATAAATTTACAAAAATAAAAAAATGTTCTTACCTGTGGAAAACGCGGAGTGTGCGTTCGCGCAACGTCAGGGGAATAAACTACGGATTTAGTGAGTAGGATTGTACTCGTGTGATGCTTCTTTGAGTGGAGCGCAGGATTACTTTTAGCTGTATAACATTTTATAAATCTACAAATCACTTTTACTTGTAATTAATTTAAAATTTAAATATACATTATATTTCTTTTACAAAAACAGATTATTTCAATTGAAAGATTCAAGCATGAAAAGCTTGATGACAATCATGATGTAGAGCTACATTACATACTTTGCATCTATAAACAGTCTGGCTATGGTACCCTTTACAACAAAGTCTTTTGTTATCAACGGACTTTACGATAAAATGTCTACCATCTCCATGCAATGGTTTTTGAATGCTGAATTTACTAGGTCTTCCTGTTGCTGATCTATTTCTGGCTAATTCTACACTCTCAATAAGAGTTTACAAAAGGAATAATGCATTCTCGCATCTGAAATCTAAAAGAGACTTTATGTTTTCAGTAGTAAAAAGTGGTGATATTTAGTAAGTTTAGATATGGTCTCACCTCATATAATTTATCAGTATTGTCAATTTGACTATTGTCAAATGCAACTTCTGCTTCATATTCCTGTACTGCGAACGTGATATCGATTCTCGTACAACAGGAACGGAAATGCCCTTATCAAAAGACCAATACATTTTTTCTTGAAGTAAAGAATAATATCCTGTAAGCAATAATATCCCAATAAATCTTCTCATAGGCTTCAGATGTAATACATTCTGGGCTCTTTTTTTTTTTTTTGCTGAGCGTATATATTTGTCTGTTCAACGAGAAGAGAGTAAATGTTTAAACCAAAACGAAAATCTGTGCACTAGTTTTACCTTGTATTTTGTCTTTTATAATTTCTCTTCTATCTCTTTCTTCATGTTTTTCCTGAGACATAACTAACAGTTCCTTTTTTATCCACTCAAGATTTCAATCTTCTGCTTTTTAAACTTTTTAGTATGACTATAATGCTTTTAAATGCTGAACTTACTTCTTACTTGATTTTCAAACTTCCCTAGCAGTATCATTTGGTAAAATATCATTATCATTATTTAAAACATTGCCATTCCTTTCTTCTTCTCACTAGTTTCTGCAGTTTCTGGGGGAACACAACATAATATCAGGCATTCTGGTCATTATTAACATTATCATCACTGTTTCTTCATCAAAAATCTTGTAGGGTCTTCTAAGGTCTAGGCATTTTTTAAACCATAACGTGAAAACATCGAAAGGAATGATGAAAAAGGTAGATGCTACCGGTTTCCTGCTGACAGTGCGTCGCGCAACACCTGTTTTCCCTTGCTTCCAACACAAATATAAATTGACTGATGTATGTTCTGAAACGGTGACCTTGACTAAAAATAGATCACTCATAAAATGGCAAATTCGCGTAAATTTTTCAGCAAAAATACCCGGTCGAAAATTTTGCTTAAAGTATGAGATTGATTATTATAAACAAAATGATTGTTGAAGGCAAATTTTTTACAGAAATTAATCTTCATAATATTTCCTCACAAAATCATCTTTATAAAATATCTTAGGTTTTGATATACGCATTTATTTGACCGTTGCGTACGCAAACCATGGGTTAATAGCGGTAGCACCCATTGAATCTGGAAATTTATTCCGCACCCCATTGAAAAATGTGTTTTTAATTTTTTTAGCTAACATTTTTGTGAACTTAGTTTATGAAAAACATTTACATTTTATATAAAACAAAAAACAATTTATTTTATTAATGACTAGCCTGTTGTTTGTTCATTATTATATGGCGAAGCGAGGTTCCGTTTTTGAAAGACATATGCGCAAGTCATCACTTGCATTTAAGCGATTTCTCGCTTTAGTTTTTATATGCAAAAGCGATGAAAATCCCATTTTGCACAAGCAGGTGGTAGCAAAAGCTAAGAATAACTGCAGTTCTCCATTCGCCAACTCTGGATAACGTTGTAACTGAACACCAGAATTGTTGCAATTCTAATTGTTCGAATTACATTTGAACATGTCCACTTGCTCGCGTTTCAATAAGTTGATCTTTTTTCAGATCACTCTCATCCATCAAATTTAAGTCAAATAGAAATGGATCCAGTATCCATCTCTGAGTTTTGGTAATTTTTCTGGTAAAAAAATATCTATTGAATGATTCGCTCAATTGTCTCAAATGTATTAAAACGTCGGGTATAATTGTATTCTTTTCATTTTACGCAATAACAGAATCAAGCAAGGGAAAGTTTGTAAAATTCCCCTTTTCTACTCGACGTATGCAACTTTCTAATTTTGCGATAAATGAAGATAATTTTTCACTAGATATTATTATATTTATACCAAATCCTTGCATTGATAGATTCAATTCATTTAAATGGCTAAATATGTCTGCTAAGTAGGCCAGCTTCAGCATTGCATCATTACTCTCAAAATCTTTTACTAAATAACAGTTTTGACTAGTCAGTAATTGAATAATTTCCTCATGCAATTCAAAACCTCTGTTAAGCATGTGACCCTTAGATAACCATTGTATTTCGATGTGATTATAGGAGCACGGTATGATCAGCACTGATTCCTTCGCAAAATGCACGAAAAAATGCGATGATTAAGCGCTCGCCCTCGGATGTATTTTACTATATTTACTGCTGTAGCTAGATGTTGTTTTAAACTTTCTGGCAATGCTTTCGACCCAAGTGCATGACGATGCAACATGCAATGCGTTATTATAACTTCCGGTAATTCTCTTTTCATGTGTGAAAAAAATCCTGAATTTCTGCCTAACATTGCTGGGGCTCCATCAGTGCATATTGAGCCAATCACATTTATTGATAATTGATATTTAGTAAAAAAAAATCTTTGATGTGATTGAAAACATCAATTCCTCTCGTATTCACCTTCAGTGGCTCACAAAATAGAAATTCTTCTATCACCTCTTTTTCCTTCACATACCTGACAAATACCAAAAGTTGGCTACAATTATCAACATCAGTTGATTCATCCAGTTGCGTGCTTATTTTTAGTGGACTGACTTTTATGTCTTCAACTACTTGCATTAAAATATGAACTGAGATCTTGTATTCGCAATCCTATAATATCATTCGATAATGGAATCTGTTGGATTTTTTTATGTGCTTCCGAATCTAAAACGGTTTTAGCAATAATTAAAGCAAAAGGTTGCTACTTGATATGACGCTTCTAACAAAGGTTTTTCAATTGCTGGTCCGCACAATTTTAGAGTAGTTCCACTGGTATCAAACCGAGCCTTCTTTAACTTCAAGCTGTTCATGCTATGCGCTTTTTCACCACCATGCAGATTGTTAAAATGCTCTAATAACTTTGATGGTTTGAGATTTGTGTTTGAAAATATCTTGGAACACAAGATGCATTGCGGTCGTTGCATGCCATCTTTTTCGGTTGTGCTGGTAAATCCATAACCGACATACTTATCATTCCATTGTCGTTTTTTTGACATAGTGGGATTCACTATAATCAATTTAATTATTTAGAAATAATGTAATATAATATATATATAATGTTCTTACGTTTGTAATATCATTGAATCCTACTCGGCTTGAACGGGCGATTAAGAATGTATTAATCTCAAGAGGTTTCTGGATAAGTCAGAATACTATACATATGTTGCAGACTTAATAGTTGACTCAACCTAACACAGGTGCAGTAGATGCAGATACAAATCTGTGAATCCGTAGATTCCATTGGAGTAGCACATATTGAACTCAGTGCATGCGCAAGCTGGGATAACGTTCTCCTCTTGTATTCCCACAAAGTTTTTTTTTTCTTCGTCACCTAGCTGCCTGTTCGCGTTCGTTTGTAGCGTTTCATGCCTTTTCGTAGCGTAGTGTATATGCCCATCGGCACCGGCTCTTTCCTGTATCTTTTGCTGATAAGTGAGCTAGTTGCAACCAATTTTTATGAGCTCCAATATTGGGTACACTATTGCAGATTTCAAATATTTAATTATAAGAAATTTAATAAATGATATTTAATAATTTTTATGCTTAGGTAGGGGCTTCTCCCGCACCCCCAAAAATACATTCCCGCACCCCCGGTTAAGAACCACTGCTGTAGGCAATAAGCATAATTAGCACCTTGTATAAATTCAAACATGTTAATAACTCTAAGCAAAAAATATCTTTATTTAACTGTTGCTTACGAGAATAACTTACTTTACACTCTCTGAAATATTGACGTTCTAGACCTGTCGCCAACTGGTGATCCACTGACCAACTGGTGGTCCGTGAAAACATTTTGATGGTCCGCAGAAAAATTGGGGCATTATTTATATTTTTAC